CGCCGCTTTGGGGGGCCCTGGCCGATCACTGTGCCTGGGGCACCCAGGGCCCCGCGCTCTCTCTGGTCCGCCATCTCTCTGACGTCACGCTGACCTCAGCCTCAGGTCGCCGTGTCCAGCAGGCCCCGTGCATGCGACCACCTGTGACAGCGGCGTGTTTCTAAGGGAATAAACGGGCCGCTGGCCCTTAGAGAAGTTCAGGCCGAACAGTGCGCAGCAGTAGCTCTGAGCGTGGGTTTGCGATGGACCGAAGGCTGCTCCGTAACTGTGACCCGTGATTCCTGGACCCCTCTGTGCCTTGGGGACCATGGAGCCGCCTGCCTTAGGGGCTGTGGGGGGGGTGCCAGTGCCCGACCAAGAAGCCGCGTTGCACAATGATGGCGAGGGCCACGGGCTCCGTGGCCGCAGGGCTCCTGTGGCTGCCTGTGCTGCACAGCAGGCCCCTTCGGGGAGCACAGGCCTGGCCCTCACTGCCCTTCACACCTGCCCGCAGGACTGCTCGGGGAGCAGGGCATCCAAACAAAGGCTACATGAAGGGAAGGGGCATTGCCTGATACGGGTTGGCCCTCACCCTTCCCAGGGGTGTGCGAGGCAAGCTCTCACTCTGGAAATGGCTGGAGTACCCGGGTCTCGAAGGGGCTCTCCCCAGCTGAAGCAGGGCTGGAGGAAGCCTCCCCCATCTCCCCCCACCCCTTCTCTCCCTCACTGGCGAGGATGAAACAATCCAAACCCGGCCAAGGCAAGATCCAGGGTGGCCCACCTGGGCCCCAGCAAGCTACACACGCAGCAGCCAGTCAGCGGGGGCCAGTGTGGGGGGTAGGGAAGGGCCAGAACAGTGTTCACACTCCAGGCCAGGTGCCAGGCGGGATTGGCAAACATTGAAAGCCAATACCAAGAGGCCACAGCGCTCTGAGCCAGAGGCACCCTGCGAAGAACTGGTGCTCTTACTGTTGGGGAGTGAGGCCACGGGGGACCCCTCCTCGCAGCAGGCAGGGGTGGGGGTGGGCAGCAGGGGCCACGGGGGACCCCTCCTCGCAGCAGGCAGGGGTGGGGGTGGGCAGCAGGGGCCACGGGGGACCCCTCCTCGCAGCAGGCAGGGGTGGGGTGGTTAGCAGAGGCCACAGGGATCCCTCCTCGCAGCAGGCAGGGGTGGGGGTGGGCAGCAGGGGCCACCAGGAACCCTCCTCGCAGCAGGCAGGGTGGGTGTGAGCGAATTTGAGTGGGTTTGACCTCAAAGTTCCCACCAGTTTCACTGATTTGAAAACTGAAGACCCACCTCTCTTACTGTTGAAGAAGGAGGGTGCTGAGGCCAGCAGGCACCCTCTGCTTAGAAGGGGCAGAGAGGCTGAGCAAGAGAGGGGCCAGGTAGCCACCGTCCCCGCCTGGAGATGGCAGGCGCTGGCATGAGATGGTACGGAGGTTTGCATGGTTCCGTGAGGGGCCACAGAGCCTGAGGGGACCAGGCCCAGGGAGAGGGAGGGCGCCACACAGGGAGCAGCCTGGCCAGGAACTGCATCACCCCCACTTGGTTTCCACCCCTTGTCTCCCAGCAAGAGTCTGAGCAGCTGATGGTCAAGGACAAATGATAATGAGGAAGCAGGACCCCTCCTCTGGGGACAGTCCCATCCTAGGCCAAGCTCACGGCAGCTCAGTCGACAAGGGAAGTGCCCCCCCCCCGCCCCACCCCTCAGACTGGAGACAGGAGGGAAGGAGATGTGTTACTGGGCGGCCACCAGAGCTAGGAGGCCCAAGGACCAATTTGTAACAAACAGGAAGGGGTCCTCGGGCAACCAACGGGCTTATCGGGGCGCTCTGACAACACTCTTCACCTCCCCTCCCCACCCCAGGTTCAAGCTCACCACAGCCAGGACCCAGCGGAACCCAGGAAGCTGGGCCAGCAGCCAGCCAGGTGAGAGCCTCAGCAGGCCTGTGAGCAGCCTCAAGGTGGGGGGCCGAGTCCAGGCAGCCTCAGGCCCCGGGAGAACAAGGGGACGTGTGTAAGCCATGTGTGTGGTGTTTGGGAGTGTAAATGTGTGTGCATGTGACTGTGTGTCAGACTGTGAGCACGCGGGCAGTGTCTGTGAAGTGTTCTGTGTGTGACTCTGTGTTGAGTGTTCTAGTGTGAAGGGAAGGGGCACCGAGAGCTTCATTGCCCACGCGTCCCGTGACCTCCCTATAGCGCTGGGCAAAGTCAGCAACAAACCTGGGAGGGGAAGGCCGCTCAGGAGGAGGCAGGCGATGGCAGGAGGCAGGGACATGTTCGGGGACGAGACTGCGACCACGTTAGGTGTGAGCCTGAGAGACAGGACGCAGGGTAAAGCCTGGAAACCCCTGGTTGTTCCTCGGAGCCCAGACAGAGCTGCGGAGTGAGGTGAGGGTGGACTCACTCCACCCCCACCCCAGGAAAGCACCTAGAGAGGACAGGAGGGGCAGGATTCTCCAGCCACCCCTGCACCTGACCTTGCCCAACCTCTCCTGTACCCTCTGACAGTGGTAACTCCCAGACAGGTTTGCTCAGGGCAGAGGGCAGGGCCAGCCTCTGCTCCTTTTATAAGGAGAGCCCAGGCTGTCCCAGCCCACAGGGCGTGGTGAGGATGCTGTGCCTGTCCTGTCCTAGGTGCCTGTGTGGTGAGGGTGCCAGTGTGCCCAGAGGAGCCCTGAGGACACTGAGACAGCCATGGGGCTGCTGACCGGGGAGGCGCTGTGGCCCCTGGCTGTGGCCACGGCCGTCTTCCTGCTCCTGGTGGACCTCCCCGCTCCCAGGGGTGATCCTCGCGCGCTACGGGCACGCGTGGCGCGAGCAGCGGCGTTTCTCCGTGTCCACCCTGCGCGACTTCGGCCTGGGCAAGAAGTCCCTGGAGCAGTGGGTGACCGAGGAGGCCGCCTGTCTCTGCGCCGCCTTCGAGGACCAGGCCGGTGAGTGGGGAGGCTGAGGGGGAGGCGGGGCAGGGGCTGGGGAGGAGAGGAGCGACGCGACCCCCGCTCTGCACCGCCTCCCCTAGGGCGCCCCTTCAGCCCCAACGCCCTCCTGAACAGAGCGGTGAGCAACGTGATCTCCTCCCTCATCTATGGGCGCCGCTTCGAGTACGAGGACCCGCGCCTCCGCAAGCTGATGGATCTGATGGAGGGCGCGTTGAAGGAGGAGTCGGGACTCCTGCGCCAGGTGGGGGACTCCTGGGGCCCCCCAACCCCCCATGGGCCTCCTGGGAGGAGGCTTATACAGAGGGCGCTGGAGAAGGGCATTCAGAAGGGGCCTCTGCAAGAGCACAGGCCTGGAGGGGAGAGAACGCAGACACGGAGGGGCAGAGGCGCGCCCGGGCCACACCCCCAGGAGAGCCAGGGACCTGTGCCTCCCTCATCTGAAGCCACGACTGGGAGATTTCAGGTTTACCTTCGGGCGCCCAGGCCAAGGGAGAGGGTCGGGGTCGAGGCCCGCATGTAGGGAGGAAGCAGGGCAAGGTGGCAACCCCTTGGGACCTGACTCCTCAAGAGGACACCTGGGCACAGGAAGGCCCGCCCAGGACCCACACCTGTGCCCGTCCAGGTGCTGGAATCGGTCCCTGTGCTGCTGCGCATCCCGGGGCTGGCTGCCAAGGTCTTCAAGGGGCAGAGGGCCTTCATGGCTCTTCTGGACGAGCTGGTCAACGAGCACAAGATGACCCGGGACCCAGCCCAGCCACCCCGAGACCTGACTGACGCCTTCCTGGACGAGGTGGAGAAGGTGAGGGGCAGCTGCCAGGGATGGGGGCCGGGGCTGTGGGTTGTGCCATGAGGTAAGCCCAGGGGTTGGGCACCCAGGCTGCTGGGTGTACTGTGGGAGCCACAGGAGGGCTTCCTCCCTCTGCCCCTTTGCCCGCCCTCTGCATGGCCAGGCCAAGGAGGACCCCAGGAGCAGCTTCAACAATGAGAACCTGCGCATGGTGGTGGCTGACCTGTTCTCTGCTGGGATGGTGACCACGTCGACCACACTGGCCTGGGCCCTCCTGCTCATGATCCTGCACCCGGATGTGCAGCGTGAGCCCGGCCTGGGGGTCGGGTGGGATGGGGGAGGCAGCAAAGGGTCAGCCCATGGTCCCTGAGCTGAGTTTGGCTACGCAGAGGCTGGGTCCTGACTCTGAGGTCAGAGTGACTTCCTTCTCCACATGGGCCCTTCCCTGGATTCCCCCCCTCTCAGGCCAGAGCCCAGCCCTCACCCCACCCCCGGGGCCTGACCCCTGTGGGGATGCTTGTCTGTCCAGACCGGGTCCAAAAGGAGATCGATGAGACAATAGGGCAAGCGCGGCGACCAGAGATGGCGGACCAGGCCCGAATGCCCTTCACCATGGCTGTGGTCCACGAGGTGCAGCGCTTTGGGGACATCATCCCACTGGGCGTGCCCCACATGACCTCCCGCGACATTGAACTGCGGGGTTTCCTCATCCCCAAGGTAGGCCTGTGGCTGCCCCACCCCCACTCAGCCACACCCACCACCTGTGCTCTGACATGGCCACCGAGCCCCTTCTGTTTAGCTCAGGGGGAAAGGTCTGGAGCAGGGGGAGAGGAGTCTGGCCAGGAGCCCCATTTCAATCAGGAAGTCAGGTTGAGGGAGCAGAGAATGGGCTCAAGTCTGCTTTGTGGGTCCTTGGGCCTCTCTCTCACCTCCATGGCCTTAGCTTCTGCCCCTGAGAGATAGCATGCTCACGTGGCCTATTGACAATTTTGGTGACATTTGCAAACTCAGAGATGCCAGATGTGAGGTCCTTGATCATAGAGGATGTGACCTCAAGGCCTCGGGACCCTAGCCCTGCTCACTGCCCAGCACTGACTGTCCCCTCCAAGGGGCATGGGGGTGAGCGCAGAGGCAGGGCCCCCGCTGGGTGGGAAGACAAGCTCAAGTGTTGGAGGAGCCCCTGGGAACAGGGATGGGTGGCAGGGAGGCCCCATGGGAGGCAAGTCACTGGGCCCCACGGGGACAGGGAGGTGGCCTGGGTGGGCGTGGTCCAGACAGTGTGCGCCCGGGAGTGTTTGGTGGCCGGGGTCCCGGCATCCCCCACCCAGACCCACCCACGTGAGGTGTCTCCTGCCAGGGGACCACGCTCATCACCAACCTGTCGTCAGTGCTGAAGGACGAGACCGCCTGGAAGGAGCCCTTGCGCTTCCACCCCGAGCACTTCCTGGACGCCCAGGGCCGCTTCGTCAAACAGGCGGCTTTCATGCCCTTCTCGGCAGGTGCCTGTGGGGGCCCAGCCTGCTGTCCCCCCCGAGGGAGCCTGGAGGCATAGGGCCCAGGCGCAGGCTCATGCCTCACCCCCCTACCCACCAACAGGCCGCCGCTCATGCCTCGGGGAGCCCCTGGCCCGCATGGAGCTCTTCCTCTTCTTCACCTGCCTCCTGCAGCGCTTCAGCTTCTCGGTGCCCGCTGGGCAGCCCCGCCCCAGCGACCACGGGACCTATGGCCTCCTGGTGGCCCCACCCCCCTACCAGCTCTGTGCTGTGCCCCGCTAGAGGGGGAACCACACCTAGCTGCTCCTCAGCTGGGAGCCCTGATGTACAATAAACCAGCCTGGTGGCTGCAGCCTTACTTTGAGTCCCACCCAGGCCCCTTAACCATGCTGGCAGCGACGGGGCCTCAGCAGCCTCCCCAGGCCAGGCCTGCCCTGCCTTGTCCCTCCTCACCTCGCATTTGGGCCCGTTTGAGAGGCGGTTATACTGAGGCTCAGAAAATGAGAGCTGACCCCAGTCGCCTGTGGAGCCCAATACTGGCTGCTTGCGTGGGTCCCAGTCTCTGCACAGGTCCCAGCCCCTGCTGGCCCCGTGGGAAAGGGAGGCCTCGCTCAGCCTGATGCTGACTCTCAGGCCCAGCAGCACCCGCCCTGCACCACAGGCAGCAGCTCAGCCAACACCAGCAAGTCTGCTCCCCCACTGACACCCCAAAAGGTGGGGAACTCAGGAAGGCTGGGAAGTGATGTGCCAGGTTAACACCCAGGCTCAGTAATGGGGTGCAGAGCTCGCCCTGGGAACCCTAATGGCAGCCCCCCCTCCCTGGGCCTCCGCGTCACCCCAACATTGAATGAGCCGCATTCCCTGGCCCCTCAGGTCTGCTCCTGGCCCAGCTGCTGCTGGAAAGAGCTGTCTCCTGGGCCGGCTGCCCCTGGAGAGACTCATGTGGGCTCCAACCCCGGGCACAGTCCTCGGAGTGGCCAGGCCAGGCAGGGCGCACAGGAGGCTGGGCTGGGGGCAAGAACTGGGCTCCTCTGGGCGGCAGACATGTCGCAGGGACAGGGGTCCAACTGTGACCCCTGCCACAATGGGGTGGCCACAGGAAAGGAGGCCACAGAGGGACCTTGGAGGATGACAGCCTGACTCTAGTCCTTGTTGTCACACCACTGTGTGGGCCTGGCTTCTATTTCCCTGCAGCCACTGAGGAGAGTGCACCAGATGGCCGCTGGGTCCCAACTTCCTGCGCTGATGCCGTGGCTGTGACATTTGCCTGCCACCCATCACCTGTGTCCACTCCCAGATGGGGCCTGGACGGAGGCTTCCAATGATGGCTTACTCGGTTCCTGGGAGGACCCTTGTGCATTTAGTGAACAGCTTAGGGACCCCAGATGCTCAGGGAAGAAGCCCCCCAACGCAACAGCCTCACGGCACCCCTGACGGGTTCCACCAGTGTCCTCTAGATGCCCTCATGACAAGCTACCCCGCTCCCTGCATGCAGGGAGCTTGGCCTGTCCCTTGACATGGAGCCCGGGTCAGCAGGGCCCCTTCGGCCTCCCCAGAGTACCCACTACCAAGTCAGGCGTGGTGCTTGCTGGGACAGTGTACGCGGGCCACACTGGGTCTGCAGGGTGGGAGGCCTGCGAGGAGGCAGCAGGGCCACAGCGGCATCACCTGTGCGTTTATTGGATTGTCACTTGTGCTCCTGAGTGTCAGGGCTGTCAGAGACCGGGAACCAGCCCAGCCAGAGCTTCCTCAGGAGCTTGGGGGCCCACTCGCCGGGCCTTTCCTCCTGGCTCTGCACCCCAGAGGCCCCTACAAACATAAGGAGGCAGGCCCTGCAGGTCGCCTGCCTGAGGAACCTTCCTCAGGGCCAGGGCAGCGCGATCTGATGGGGCAGCACTGACACCAGGGTTCCTCCCATCCACGTCCCTGGGAAGTGGGCTGAGGAGGCTCCCTCGGGGCTCCCTGGCCTTCCCTCCCTGGGCCAAGAGGGTGTGGGCTCCCTGGGGGCTCCTCGGGGTCACAGAGGGGAGGGAGGGAGGCGGGGTGGGCTGGGCTCTCTTACCAGAAGGAGGTAGAGGCAGCTCCTTTGGGACCTTCTTATCTCCCTGGGAAAGAAGGGCATGGTGGGATGAGACAGGCTCTACAGTGTAGATGGGGAAACTGAGGCCTCGCTACAGGAGAAGTCAGGGCGGCCAGGACTCACACCGCCTCTGCTCCCCTCAGCTCTACAGAGAGCTGCTCTACTGAGATGCAGTTTGGCCCCGTCATGTTGGGGGTGCCCCAGCCCCCTCTCCATCCCCACAGCCTGCGCACCGCCCGGCACTGCTTGGGGCACCAGGCCTCCTTACCTCCCAGCCTGGGCTCCCTGCCACCTCCTTCTCCTCAGCCACTTCCTTCCCAGCAGGAGTGGGGCTGGCTGCTCCCTGGCCTGGGACCCTCCCCTCCCCCTCCCGGTCTTTCTCCCCCTGAGACAGGATGTCCGTCTCCTTGGGGGCAGCATCATTCAGTCCTCCCGGAGTCTCAGGGGCTGTGGCCTGCCAGGAGAGAAGTGGGCATCACACAGGCCCGGAGGCCCCCAGTACGCCTCAGCCCTCCCATTTCCCCCACTTGGGGTGCGTACAGTTCATTCTTTCTCCAGGGAAGTCCTTCCCTATCAGCTCCAGAGGTGGGGTGGCGGGGCTGTGTTTCCTGGAGGGACCCTGCCCCCACCCCTGGGCCTGCAGGCCCTGAGCCAGGCACCCCTGGGCCTCATGGAGCTGATGGGAGAGCCCCGCCCGGGCCCTTCCAGGGAGGCCTCTTACCTTGGAGGCCTGCGTCTTCCCATTCCTGACTCTGCGTCTCTACAGGGGGAAACAGTCATGCGTGCTGGGAGGCGCCCCCCTCCCGCGCCCACCTACCAGGCCTCTCATGGTGTCTACCCAGGACAGGGGCCCAGGACAGCTGCCCCCCTCAGGGGAAGAAGGGTCCCCAGCCTCACCCACCTGAATGGCCGCGGGGTAGCACTTATCCATCAGCCCCCACAGCGGCCTTAAGGTCTCTCCTATGGGCTGCATGACAAGGAGAGAGAGAAGGGAGGCGGCTGAGGGCACAGCTGAGGTGACTGTTAGTGGGCAGCACTGACCCCTAAAGACCCCAGGGACTTAGGGAACTTCAGCATGACTGATGCTTCTAGGAAGATAAACAGCTCATGAATGGAACAAGAACAGGCTCTAAAACAGAAACGTTCAAATATCAACCTCTAAAGCTTGAAAAACCAAACTGTGATATGATTATGGGAATGGAAAACCCAATCAAAGTCCAGAAGATAAAGTTGAAAAAAGCATTTCCCAGCAAGAACAGAGAGGATATCAGGAGGACCAACAGCTAAACCATGGATCTTCCTGAAAGAGCAGAGGCAACAAATTGGGGTGACAGGAGATATTCTAAATACATTCTTTTTTAAAAGTCTTTTTAAAAATATTTTTTTATTGTCATCAGAGAGGAAGGGAGAGGGAGAGAGAGATAGAAACATCAATGATGAGAGAGAATCATCGACCAGCTGCCCTGCATGCCCACTGGAGATCAATGAGAGAGAATCATCGACCAGCTGCCCTGCATGCCCCTTACTGGAGATCAAGCCCGCAACCCAGGCATGCGCCCTGACCAAGAATCAAACCGTGACCTCCTGGTTCATGAGTCGACACTCAACCACTGAGGCACACCTGCCCTGGGCGTACATTCCTTTTTATCAAGACAATTCCCAAAGATGAGGGACAGGAGTTTTCAGGAGAGAAGGAATCACCAAGTGTCCATGACAATGGATGAGGAAACCCACCCTAGATGCCTTCAGTACATTTCAGAATACTGAGGACACAGAGAAGAACCAACAAGCTTCCAGAGATTCAAAGGAAAAAGTCTGCTCCAAGAATTCAATTTCATCAGACTTTTAAACACCAACATTTGAAGCCAGAAGGCAATGAGGATCTTCAGAATCGGTGGGTAAGTTATTTCTAGTCTAGAATTCCATGCCTAGCCACTCGCTCAGCCGAGTGTGTGCTGAGGCCTTTCAGACATGTAATATCACAAGACCACCCATCACGGAGCCCCGAGGCTGCGTCCCACCGAGGGGTCCCACACGAGGTGTGCAGCGCCTCAGTGGACCCAGCATCCATTTGGGCTCTGACCGGGGCTGGGAGAGGGGGCTTCTGCCACAGGTTCTTGGACTTGGGACATCAAAGAGGCTGTGCAGCCCCAGGCAGGAGTCCTGCTCAGCACCACGCTGCTCACATGAGTGTCGAACCACATTCCAGGGCTACATACACACATTAGGATCACCTGCTCCTTTGGGTTATCCAGGCCTCTGCCACCGAGCCCTGAAGTGACCATATAGCCAGCTCATGAGGGGTGGGGCTTATGTTTTGACTCTTTGCGAAAATAGGAAATTTTTCTAGAATCCACACCGCGCGCACACACACACAGACAGTTGACCATTTGAGGGCAAGCAGTACGACCCCAGGGAGCCCACCCCAGCCTCTAGGACTGAGACACACACACACACACACACACACACACACAGTTGACCATTTGAGGGCAAGCAGTATGACCCTAGGGAGCCCACCCCAGCCTCTAGGACTGAACGAGGTGCCTACCGGTGATGATTCCCCAGCAATCGCGTGGTCGGGAGCTGTTTTCCCCACAGACTCCTGGAAATAATAGTATACCATTCCTGCAAATGAGTGAAGGAAGACTAGTTAGAACACTGAACAGAGATGTCATTATTTTAAAGTGTCATATCCCTTGACACTGTGAAATAAATTAGGTACTAATTTAAAATGTGTGAGGGGATAAAGTCTTTGAAAAGGTATGCAAGCAAAAATTTGAAAGTCATTGCGGTAGGACTGTATTAGGTTGTGTGGGCTTTTTGGTTTGCGGGTTCTGTGTGTATTTTTGCGGGGGGCAGAGTATGAGCTTCACAGTTAGACATGGGTTTGAGCGCCACTCCACCCTGAGGGTGCAGAGGGGAGACGTGGAGAAAGGCGGCCAGCCCCTGGGGAGCCAGGCCTCGGGGAGCCCTGCTGGGCAGCTGGAGGCTGGAGGCTCTGAGGGGAGAACCAACTCCCGGGTCCTGACGTCCTCCCCAACTCACCGCAGCACAGGCCTTACCTGCAAGAATGAAGATCTGCATTACGTACAGGGCCCTGTAGAGCCTGGAAGGAAAGCAGAGTGAGTGTGAGGCGGGGTCTCCCCTGCCCTGACCAGTGGGTACCGGCTTCCCCCCAATCCAGGACCTGCCCTACCCGGGTGTGTCCCGTCACCACTGTGGGCGAGGAAATCCCTCAGCTGCCTCAGGGCTCAGCCCGGGCTCCCTGCTGATGGCTGGCACGACTCTGTGCCTCTGCCTCCTTCCACAGCCAGGCTTGGCGCCTGGAGCAGACAAGGAGCCCGGGCCCCTCCCTTTCTTCCCTTCCTCACTGTACATGCGAGCCCATCGAGCCTCTCCAGCCAGAAGGCAGGCCCTGACCTTGCCTGGGCCTCACAGGTGATCATCCGGTGCTGGGTTAGCTCTTCTCCCGCAGCCCTCCAAGCCCTCCCTCCTCTGACTGACAGATCCCACACCCGGGGTAGAAATCATGTTCCAGGTCACCTCCCTCTTCTGTGACCCCTCCCTTGGGACAGCAGAGCATTTTGGCATTGCTAAAATCAGCGGTTCTCAACCTGTGGGTCACGACCCCGTTGGGGGTCAAACGACCCTTTCACAGGGGTCGCCTAAATATATCCTGCATATCAGATATTTACATTACAATTCATAACAGTAGCAAAATTACAGTTATGAAGTAGCAATGAAAATAATTTTATGGTTGAGGGTCACCACAACATGAGGAACTGTATTAAAGGGTCGCAGCATTAGGAAGGTTGAGAACCACTGGCTAAAATGATGGCTTCTTGTGCGTGGGCACACATACACACACACACACACACACACACACACACTCTCATGGCCCACCTACCAGGACCAGGCCCTCCACCCCGACTCAGAGTCCCAGAGACACTCTAACAGTCAAGGAAAAGTTATAGAGAACCCTGCTTTTCCTTCCACTTGGGCCCAAGTGGGGGTTCCCCTGCCTGGTCATTCAGGACATGGTAATAGGGTGCACCCAAACTTTACCTCTCCTTCTGGCTGCATATACCAAACACCATTTTCAGTCTAAGGAGAAAGGATAGGCAACAGTCAAGGCATCACAGGCCCGGGGCCCCAGTGTTCCTGGACTCTGAGGCCTGCAGGAGTCACAACAGGCCAGAGGCAGTCGGTGGACAACAAGGACCTCCACAGGCCAGGCTCAGCCAGAGGACGGCCTGCTGATCAAACTAAGGAGGGGGACTTCCAGGAGCTTGGGAAATGCTCAGAAATTTCTCCCAAGAGCTCCAAACGGAAGGTTGTTTTTGTGCCTCAGAGCTGGGAAGGGAGGTCCCAGGGAAAACAATGGGAAAGGGGGGTGGGCTAAAATCAAGGAGAGAGTAGGTCTTCTATTGAACATTTCGTATAAAATGTCTCCAGGTGTATGTGGTGAATGATAACCGTAAATAATAATGATTTAAAACACTTTAAAGTATTTTCTGGGTTACAGAGCATTTGGGGAATAATTTGGGGAGCACTGAGGGCGATTCCCCAGCTTCCTCAAACTATTCTGTCTGGAACCCCCCATCAGTGTCAGCATTCCCTACAAATTGACACCATGGCAAGTCAAGGTCTCCAATGCGAGCTGGACCCTGAATGAGGCCAGTGAGCCTCCGCCTCCCGAGGCAGCTCCCATTCTCCACAGGGACTGTTTCAGAATCTTCTGAAGATTTAAACCTTCACCAGATGTGAGCTCCCTTCACCTTCTGCCACCAAACCCTCCCATTCATTCTCTGCTTCTCACAGGCCAATTCCTCCTCCAGGGAGGGGCTGCCCTCCCCTCTGAGACCACCCCCTCAGTGCTGCATTCCATCTGGTCGTCTCACAACCTGGGCGTTTGTGGTCTCCTCTCTCATATATTCAGCTTTTCCTTCTCTAATGGCTCCTTCCCATCAGCATTTAAACACATCACTCATCTCTTCCATTAAAAAAAAAAGCCCCTCTCTCTGAACCCACAACCCTGCTCAGTGAGGGTCCTAACTGGCCCCCCCCCTTCACACGGTCTCCTGGAGAGAGCCGTCTACGCCCCACAGCCCACCTCTATCTGTGTCTGACCCCACAAGTTCTTGAAACCTCTCTCACCAAAGTCACCAACATGCTCCTGGGCACCAAATCCAGGGGCCCCTCCAGGCCTGGCTCACTTCATCTCCGCAGGGCGCTACAGCACCCCGGGGTCCCTGGGGCACCTCTGGGAATACCGCTGGCGGTGTCTCCAGCATAAGCTTTGCTAGTCATGTGTATAACTAGTGTGAGCCAAGCTTTCAGGCTTTTTCAGAGAGGAGGTTTGGAGAAGGGAAGGAGAGAAAATGAGTCCTGAAGGAGAGGAGAAGGGGCAGGCGAAGTAGGAAGGGAAGCCCAAAAGGTAGGCTAGGACAAGCAAAGACAATTTTCACCTGCTTAGGATGCTTACTGCCTTTGAGCCACTTACCAAATACGCCAACCTTGACCTTTCCTTTGACCATGGCAGTGTTCAGGCAGCCTGCCCGCCTTTCCTCTGAGAAGGGCACTGAGCCGGCTAAGGCTAGGAGTCCAGAATACAGCCCCTCCCTTTCGCAGGGAGAGTGATCTCTGTGTGTGACATCACATCTTAGGGGGCTTTATGACAGGACAGCCGCTCCAACCTGGGCCAGTGCAGGTGGTCAGCTGCCTCAGGGCGGCTTTCCATCCCCACCAGTCAGAACCAGCACCTTTGTGGATATCTCTCTGGTTCCATTCAACGCCATCAATGCTATACAAACACACAAAGGTGTGAGATTCAGTCTTGTCACATAATCCAATAAGCACATTTTCTGGATCAAAAACAAGAACACAGCCTGACAATTTCTAAGTGTTACCCAATCATCCGATCAGTGCCTGCTGAGCTTCCCTTTGGGGCCAGGAATAACGCCAAGGGGATAGAAAGGTAACAGGACACAGAGCCTGCCCTTGGGGAGCTTGAAGACATCAAATAAACATCTTCTACCATCCCCAAATTACTGTAAATGTCGCTAAGTAATAATTACAAAACTATGGATGGTTAAACTAACAAATGCCAAGTTCCACGTACAGATGAAACATTAAGATAAACCATAAAACAAGTCTCAGTAAATTTTAAAAGATTAGTTATTTCAAGTAAGTCCTTTGACCACAATGGAATTAAATTAGAAATCAGTAACAGAAACTCCCTGGAAAAATCCCCAAATATTTGGAACTAAACAACATACCTTTAAATAACATATGGGTAAAATTAAAAGTCAAAAGGACCCTGGCTCAGCTGGTTAGAGCATCATCCTGATACGCCAAGGTTGCGAGTTTGACCCCTGATTAGGACACATACAACAATCAACCAATGAATGCATAAATAAGTGCAACAATAAATCAATGTTTCTCTCTCTCAAAAATCAATGAATAAATAAATTTTTAAATTCTCATTATGATGGGGAAAATAAGACTTTTTTTGGGGGGGGCGGGGGCTAGCAATCTGAATTTGTGCCAGTAACCTAATGTACATTCTTGATAACCTATAATTAAGTCACTGCCTCTTTCCCAGAAACTGGTCTTGCAAGACCTGTTACCTAAATGCTCACATCTCACAGAGGCCATAAACCAGTGGTTCTCAACCTTCTGGCCCTTTAAATACAGTTCCTCATGTTGTGACCCAACCATAAAATTATTTTCATTGCTACTTCATAACTGTAATGTTGCTACTGTTATGAATCGTAATTTAAATATCTGATATGCAGGATGGTCTTAGGCGACCCCTGTGAAAGGGTCGTTTGACCCCCAAAGGGGTTGCGACCCACAGGTTGAGAACCACTGTACTAGAGGCTTGATGCACGAAATTCGTGCACGGGGGTGGGAGGGGTCCCTCACCCGGCCTGCACCCTCTCCAAATCTGGGACCCCTCGGGGGATGTCTGACCACAGGAATTGGGCCTAAACCGGCAGTCAGACATCCCTCTCGCAATTTGGGACCACTGGCTCCTAACCGCTCACCTGCCTGCCTGCCTGATTGCCCCTAACCGCTCTGCCTGCCTGCCTGCCTGCCTGATCACCCCTAACCGCCTCTGCCTCAGCTCCCATCGCCATGGCTTTGTCCGGAAGGAGGACCGGAAGATGTCTGGTCGACCCGGTCTAATTAGCATATCATCCTTTTATTAATATAGATAATTTACATACCATGAAATTTATCCTTCACCCATTTGAGTGTATAAGTCAGTGAATTTTAGTATATTTACAAAGTTGTGCACTAGCATCACAAACTAATTTTAGAGCATTTCCATCAGCCTAAACAGAAACTTCATGCTACAGTCACTCCTCATTTCCACCTCAGCACTTGACAACTATAATTTACTTTCTGCTTGTATACATTTGCCTTTTCTGAACCCTTCACAGAAATGGAATTATCTGATTTGTGCTATGTCTAGCTCCTTTCACTTAGCATGTCTTCAAGGTTCATTATGGCTGAAGAATATTCCATTGTATGAATGCACCATATTTTGTTTATACACTTTTTTCCTTGTCCATCCAGTTGATGGATTTTTGAGTTGTTTCTATTTTGGGCTATCATGAATAATGCTGCTATGAACATTCACATACAAGTGTCTGTGTGGACAAATGTTTTTATTTTTCCTGGGTAGATACCTAGAATTGGAATTTCTGGACATATAATAAGTCTATGTTTAACTGTTTTAAAAAATATATATTTCTTTATTGATTTTAGAGAGGAAGGGAGAAGAAGAGAGAGAGAAACATCAATGAGAGAGAATCATTGATCGGCTGCCTCCTGCACGCCCCCAACTGGGGATCGAGCCTGCAACCCAGGCATGTGCCCTTGGCCAGAATTGAACCTGGGACCCTTCAGTCCGCAGGCTGATGCTCTATCCATTGAGCCAAGCCAGCTAGGGCTATGTTTAACTTTTTAAGAAATTGCCTGACTGTTTCCCAAAGTGGCTGCACCATTTCATATTCCCACCGGCAATGTATAAGGGTCCCAATTTCTCCATATCCTCGCCAACACTATTATCTATCTTTTTTATTCTAGGCATTCTAGTGGGTGAGTGGTATCTTATGGTTTTGACTTGCATTTACCTGGTGACTGATGATATTGTCTTTTCACATACTTATTGATCATTTGTATATCTAATTTGGAGAAATAGCTATTCAAATCCTTTGCCTATTTAAAAAAAATACTTTTTATAATAATTTTGACTTCCCCTTACTCCACCCCCAACATACACACACTCACAGCCTCCCCACTATCAACATCCCTCAGCAGAGTGACACATTGTTATAATCAATGAACCTACACTGACACATCATTGTCACCCAAAGTTCACAATTTACATTAGGGTTCACTCTAGGGGTCTGAGCATGTATAATGGCATGTATCCACCTCTACAGTATCATATAGAATGGTTTCACTGCCCTAAAAACCCTCTGTGCTGCACCTATTCATCCCTTTCTCCTCCCAGCTCTGGCAGCCAATGATCTTTTCACTGTCTCCATAGTTTTGCCTTTACCAGAATGTCATATAGCTGGAATCACACAGTATGTACCCTTTTCAGAATTGCTCTTTCACTTAGGTATATCCATTTAAGTTTCCTTCATGTCTTTTCATGGCTTGCTAGCTCATTTCTTTCTAGCACTGAAGAATATCTTAATGTCTGCACATGCCACTGTTTATTTATTCATTCACCTCCTAAAGGACTTTTTGGTTGCTTCCAAGTTCTGGCAATTATGAATATAAACATCCATGTGCAGATTTTCTGTGGACATAAGTTTTCAATTAATTGGGTAATACCAAGGAGTGTGATTGCTGGATCATATGTTCAGAGTATGTTTAGTTTTGCCCAGCCGGCATGGCTCAGTGGTTGAGCACCAACCTATGAACCAAGAAGTCATGGTTGTGGGTTTGATCTCCAGTGTGGGGCATGCAGGAGGCAGCCAATCAATGATTCTCTCTCATCATTCATGTTTTGGTCTCTCCCTCTCCCTTCCCCTCTGAAATCAATAAAAATATACTTAATAATAAAAAAAGAGTATGTTTAGTTTTGTGAGAAACTGCCAGACTGTCTTCCAAAGTGGCTGGATGATTTTGCATTCTCACCAGCAATGAATGAGAGCTCCTGCTACTTCACATCCTCATCAGCACTTGATGTCACCTTTGCTCATTTGTGTGTGTTTTTTAAGAGCAAGAGACGCGCAACCACTAAGCAACACTGGCCCAGCACCTTTGCTCATTTTTATTTTATTTTATTTTATTTTTATTTTTTTTACCTTTGCTCATTTTTAATTGAGCTATTTGTCTTTTTATTATTGAGTTGTAAGAGCCTTTTACATATTCTAGATACAAGTCCCTTATGGAATATATGATCTGCAGATATTTTATCCCAGCTTGTGGTTTTAGAAGCCTTTTATTGTTTTAATGAAAAGGAATATTAACATTAATATTCATGACAGTGGTTACACCTAGAGGAGGCAGGAGCATGGACTAAGGTACACAGGTAGGCATCCTATCGGTGCTATGAGAGGTAGAGCACAGGCTCTGGAGCCACTACCTAGGTCTCAACCCAATGCTGTTAAGTAAGTAACTTAGTCTGTGTCTCAGTTTTCTCATCTGTAAAATGGGTTCAACAACACTCACCTCACAGGTGTGTTGTGAGGCTTAAGCGAGTTAATGCGCCTGGAGAACTTAAAACAGTGGTTACCAGGTATACAGTGTACTTTATGGAAACCTTGATGACTACCAATTCTTCAGTTGGGTCCTGGGGTTCAGAAGTTTTCATTTTATTATCATGCTTTATCATTTATATGTTACATGCTTTCTTTTGTCTAGCTCATTTAAATGTACAAATAAATTTTAAAATAAAAGGAGAATAAAGTATCCACATTTTTAAACAGTGGTTACCAGGTATACAGTGTACTTTATGGAAACCTTGATGACTACCAATTCTTCAGTTGGGTCCTGGGGTTCAGAAGTTTTCGTTTTATTATCATGCTTTATCATTTATATGTTACATGCTTTCTTTTGTCTAGCTCATTTAAATGTACAAATAAATTTTAAAATAAAAGAAGAATAAAGTATCCACATTTTTAACCCTTTAAAATGAGAAAGAGTGGGCTAGATGCAGGGCCATCCCCCATGCTGGTCCGGGGCCCAGAGCTCAGCTCAGCCGGGCCCCTGCTCCTTCCACGACGCTCACAAGGTGCCTGACCCTGGACCCCGGGCGGGTGGGGTGGGAGGCCTAACGCGGCAAGTGGCCTTGCCTCCGCCCGCCTTGGCTTCCTCGCATGTGAAACGGGGGCGCTAACTACCCACCTGATCCAGGAGGTTAAAGAGGCCAGGCCACTGCTCGGCAGGAAAATGCCAGAAAAGAGAGAGACCCGGAAAGGACAACCTAAGGCTCCTCCAGCTCCAAAACTCTGCGCTGTGTTTCACAGAAATCCACAGTTTGGGATGCAAACGACCTTGTCGAACGTGGGGCTGAAGGTAGAACCTACCTCCCCGGGCTGTGGAGAAGCGTCGAGAAACACAGGCCAGGAAAGCGCTTTCACATCTGTATCGCACTTCGAAAGAGTTGACTCATGGGGGTAAAAAGTTGCAGAAAAAGTGGCCCCACAGAAGGGCCAAGCCGGCGCCACAGCAGTCCAGGCGCCATTGTCTGCTTCAGCCGCCACCTCGGACCCGCGGCCGCGGAGCCGACCC